CATACATCAGAGGTGGTACAGTGGTCCTCAGTGTGTACATCAGAGGCGCTACAATGGACCTCAGTGCATACATCAGAGGTGGTACAGTGGTCCTCAGTGTGTACATCAGAGGCGCTACAATGGACCTCAGTGCATACATCAGAGGTGGTACAGTGGTCCTCAGTGTGTACGTTAGAGGTGGTTAGTATGTTGGTCAGGGAACCCTCAGGTCCACAATTATTCCACGAGTCTATAATGTCAATATAAATAATACTGTGTAATTCATTCTTAAGAAGTTCCTATGATTTTAAATGTACTGATGTAGTGCAAAGTCTTAAGGCTGATAGATGACATATTCAGTACACTAATATATGACATATTATACATATAAAAATATATTCATGTGTACATTAATTATTAACAGTATACAGCAATTTGTTCCCAGTGGCATAAAACACATACACAATGAAGACATTAACTGAAGGGGCTTATCTACTTATGGCTTTACCAATCTCTATACAAAATGCACAGTACTTATAGTAGAGAAAGATTAGGTGCAATGCTAGTCACTTGTCAGAAGTAGGCAGGGTGTGAAATTTCAAAGAATCTGCCTAACATGATCCAATAGGCCCACAGCAATACGACAGCATTCTTATGTTATCTGATGGCATTGTTTTGGTTAAGCAGAATTATTTTAGCTAGAACGCTGGGGATGCTGACACTCTCTGAGCTTTGTGTGATTGTGTCAGACTAAAGTTTTCAGGTATCCACATCCCAGTAAATTGCTCTCATTAGTAGCTCTGCTCTTGGGTACATGCATTGTTCACATCATGGCTTCAAGCATTTCTATGTTTCCTAACATGCTGGCCCCTGGTCCTGTTTCCCTTATGTTTAGCTTATCGTATCCCTGACAAGGGATCCTTGACAGACTACAACTGGTTCCTGTGGGGCTGAAAGGTTTCAGTTTTAACAGGTTGTTGATGGTCATCATGGAACTGATTGCTACACAGATATGGCTGCCTATGAGTGATAGAGAAATGCTATTGACCACAATACCGACAGGATGGATTATGTACCTGGTGGAAGATTTCATGTGCTGTTGTTGCTATTACTGATGTATGCAGAAGGAGCCTACACTGCAGAAGCAACTAAAGCCAATACTTACTCTTTGAGAATGTGGGCTTTGTCTGCTGTAACCTCTAAGGAAAGTAAAGACCAAACTTGCTGAAGGAAGTGTGTGAATATATTACACACATCTGAAAAGCTTCAGTTTCCTCTATACTTCATTTCTGAGTGTAGGAGATACACCATATACATCAGTGATAGCAACAACAATGCATGAGAGATCTTCTACTGGGTACATAGTCCATTCTGTCAGTGTTGTGGTCAGCAGCATTTCTTCATCACTCATAGCCAGCCATATTTGAGTAGCAACCAGTTCCATGACCACCATCAACAACCTGTTAGAGCTGAAGCTTGTCAACTTCACAGAAACCAGTGCGAGTCTGTCTAGGATCTCTTCCCAGGGATACAATAAGCTAAACATAAGGGAAACAGACAAGACAGGGACCATGTTAGGAAACAAAGAAATCCTTGCTGCCATAATGTGAACAATGCGTGTAGCACATCATAAGGTGGAAAAGAGCAGAGTTAGTGCTGAGAATGATTTACTGAGATGTGGGTATCTGGAATCCTCAATCAATCCGAGTTTCAAAGTCAATCACACAAAATTCGGAGAGCTTCAGCATCTCCAGAATTCTAGCAAAATTTATTCTGCCTAACCAAAACACTGGCATCAAATGAAACAAGACCAGAGATGTACTGCAATGGACCTAACTCTTATATCCCGAACTCTTATATTACGACACTAATGGAAGGCCAATTGGTGTTTTTGTAATAGGCAGGTTCTTCTAAATTTCAAGTCCTGCCCATTACTAACAAGTGGCCTCTTATTCCAAGTCGCACCTGATCCCACTTTGTTATAAATGCTGCTTCTTTTGTTGTCTCTGTATTAGGATTGATAAAACTGAAAGTGGTGAAGCATCTTCAATAAACATCCTGATCATACATGATTCTTATTTCCACACTTTGTCAATATGAACTTGTATTTTCACACTATTTCCCTATATAACACAATTGGAAGCTTTGATTACTAAAGTTAATGTCTTTATGTGTGCACACACACACACGATTATATAATATATATATTTTGAGTGCATGCACGTATGTGCGTACACGCACACAACACACACAGACACGTACACACACACACACACACACACACACACAACACACACATACATACATACATACACAACACACCCCCATACATACACACACACACACACACACACACACACACACACACACACACACACACACACACACACACACACACACACACACACATACATACATACATACACACACACACATACATACACACACACCACACACACACACACCACACACGCACACAACACAACATACTACTACACACACACACATACATACACACACACACACACACACACACACACACACACACACACACACACACACACACACACACACACACACACACACACACAGTGAAGAGGTGGGGCCAGGAGCTGAGTCTCGACCCCTGCAACCACAATTAGGTGAGTACACACACAAATTATTACAGTTACGACTGAATTAATATCTATATACCTATGTAATGCAATTTGTAAACATGGTTCTCATATAATTATAAATGTCCAGTTATTTATGACCAAAACTGTTATTATTTATCCTCCTTACTGAGGTAGCAGCTATTGTATTAATATATTTTGATAAGGGATCTTCATCCAAGGACTTAATGCTACCCTCTTCCTTGGATTAACTTGTATACCTCCCATTCCCCAGGTGTATTATGACCCCCTACGAGTTTAGTACTTTCCCATAAAGTGTGTGGTGGAGAACACCGAGAGGAACAACATAGCTTGACGACTAGCACTTAATATGTATTGAATGACGACACACAAGTGTGCAGCTGTACAATATTGTTACGAGTTGTACATTTTTCTGATATGATATCTTGAGCATTTAGAGTATAATATGACACCTGTTGACACTTTATGGTGTGGGTTACACCTGTTGACACTTTATGGTGTGGATTACACCTGTTGACACTCTTGACAAAGCTGTAAGTTTCAATACTTGTATTGCTTTATATATAAAATATGTATGTATTGCTACTCTTCTACAATACTGGCCATAACATTTTATCACTTCTAACTCTTCTGACTTTTGTTTCAGTTTGGTATTATCTGTTTCAATATTACCGGACGGAGGATTGAGCCTCCACACACTTTACACTGAACATCCCACACTGGTTTAGTTCAGAACTTTTTTCACATTTAAACCCTCCAAGGTGAGGCATGAAATATCCAAGACACTTTAACACTACAAGTGTAAACTGTGAGAGTACTGTTCTGAGTGAAGCAGAATAGTGTTCTTGGTATGACTGCCAAGAGTTACTAGATGCAGCTCTCCCAGCACCAGTCTCATGGTTCCCGGAAACATCTCTCAGACAACCGGGATGAAAATACTGTCAAAATGATATCTTTACCTTATAAAAATATGAGAGACAGATGCAACTCTGCTGGGAATCTTTTTAGTAACCACAATACTTGTACTTTCCCTAACATTAGTTTCAGGAGATACATAAAAGACACCAACTTCACTATGACCAAAAAGATGGACATTGCCAGTAGCAGATACTGAAAATCTACCAATCCTCCTGATTATGTATATAACATTTAAAATAATTTTGTGGTTTAGTGGACAATACACATACATTTAATTGATCTGCTTTAAGGCCTCACACTAGCACTATAAAAGTATATGTACACTAAATGCTCTGCCTTAAGGTCTCAAGCTTCTATGACTGCATAAAGGATAAGAATGTAGTATATTGTACCTGTTAGCTCACTAGAGGCCAGACTATGGTAGTTCTAGTTACAGGAGGCAGGAGGAAGTTGGTCAATCCAGGTTGGCTGAACCTCCATGTGTGATCATGTTTAGTGTTCTTTCGAACTGCTCCTCTAGGCTGTCCTGTGTTAGTGAGGAGTGGCAGCTTACTCTTCTGGTCGAGGATGTCTCTAAGTCTTCCACCGTTAACGGGTTTAAAGTAGAGGCCCCTGAGGTGGACGTTGAGGATGACTCAACACTTTGGTCTGGACATTTTAGAGAGCTTGTCGAACTCTGTCCATCTCTATGACTTTGTTCAAGTTTCCGAAGCTCCTTCGGGCAGCTTACCTCGCCCGACGTGTGACTTGAGTAGAAACTACTGATATGTCCTTGCCTCTTGTCCCTCACTGAATTGTTGTCCTTCATGTCACCTTCCTTTTGCTGCCTTTTCATGTCATGGGGTATGAAGAAGGATGCCTCTGTGTCACTGCAAGATTGAGTTATGTCATCATCATCATCGAAGTTATAACAGCTTAAGGAGAGGTCAGTGTTGGACTCTGTGTTGAGTGTAAGATGCTGGAGGTCTCTGCGCAAGGGAAGTGCTGGAAGCCTCTTGCTGGGCTGGTCAGGTCCAGAATCTGTGATGGCTGATGCTTCTTCATAAGCACTGACAACTTCATAGGCATCGGTGCTGAGACCACTGTACTGGTACTCCTGTGGAAGAAAGTGTTTACTGTGAGACATCTACACTATACAGTGTACTTGACAGTAATACATGTAGAATGTCCACATTAAACCACTCTTTGTACACGGCACTAGATATTTTGATAACATGTATTAGTTCAAATACAAGTTCGAATAATATATATTTGAAGTTTATGATGTAGAGATCTGGCCAAAACACACGAGTAAAACATTACCAGTCAATAGAACATCTACTCATAACAGCAGTTTTCTATATATCTACTTTACAGAGTTTCCTCATCAAAAGGAAACATTTGGTGTGGCATCATTCATAGTTGATCCAGGGACCAGTTGGTAGACCTTTTTTTTATATAGTATTTTGCAAGTTATTAGATCTTGTTTCTCTCTGAAATTCATTGTGTCTTGCACTGAATGATCATCTGGGTTTAACACATCCTCATGAACTAAGTCAGGGGTTCTTAACCTTTTTACAATTACAGACCCCCCAATGGGCTGCCCAATATGTCCACATACACTCTTTGCCAGACTGTTGAAATCATCATCAGCAGTCCTATTAAGTACCAGTATGACCTCAAAAGATGTCAATAGCCTGGTTTTACTTTACATATGAATAGTTAGTAACAAAACACTTGATAGTTTATTCTAATCTAACAACTTTCTTTTTTAAATTGTTCAGAGATGGAGTGCCACACCCCTACTATTCAGTTCCCATACCCCTAAGGTGTATAGATACCCCTGGTTAGTAACCTCTGAACTAAATAATAATAGTGTCTTAGTATTATCTTGTGTATTCTCTCAGTATTTTTTACCAGCAACCAGTTATGTTACTTTAATTTATGAGGAAACTGGTAACAGGCTCTATATGCAACAACTATTAATGAATGATAATATGAAGGACTCACCAAAGTAGAGTGAAATTAAAATTACAAACTTTGTGAAGGATTTAACAAGGTTCATTACCAAAGTCTACATGATGCTGTCATTAAGAGTAACACATTGAGGGTTACAGCTAAATTTACATCAGTAACAGCAGAGTAAACACTGACTAGAGTGGAGGAGAAGGCCTGGAGGTCGCTACGGTTGAGGTTGGCCTGCAGGACGGTGGAGCAACCTGATGCTGTACCAGAGGACTCCCGCGGTGGCAAGTTGATATCATTGTGGCAGCAGCTGCAGCACTCCCCACTGTACCAAGTGCTATCCTCAGTCTCTTGCCAGCTGGAGCAGCTGGTGCGGAGAGCAGCACTTGTATAGCAGGTGCCAGTGTGGCGTTGGAACTTGATGGCACCACCCGCCTGCACCCGGCCTGCCCGCGGTGCCGACATTGACTCACTCTGATGACAAAAAAAAATATTAATGGTTTACCTGTGTGTCAGCATCAGTAATGATACTTCACTCAAGTGATAATTGCAACAGCAGCATGAGATACTTTCCTTGCATGATGCAAGAAAAGTATCTCTATATCCTGTTAATCCAGCTTTCTCTTCCCCAGTTCTCCCCAGTACTCTCTGTATCCCATAAACTAAGCCTCTTCTACCTCAGTCCAGCATAAGTTTTTAATGTAGTTAAATATCATCACTGAAGAGAAGCCATTTGGAAGAGGCAGTCATAACTTACCACATGGAAATTAAATATTCCATTTGTCAAATTTATTCCTTATTTTCCCAATTTCTTCACAGTGTTATCACATCTATAACTTATTCCTCCAACCTTCAACTCTCCCACCCTCCTTTATCAAGGTCACCTCAACCCTGCCCCCCTACCAAAGTCACCTCAACCCTCCCCACCTTCTCTACCAAAGTCACCTCAACCCTGCCCCCCTACCAAAGTCACCTCAACCCTCCCCACCTTCTCTACCAAAGTCACCTCAACCCTGCCCCCCTACCAAAGTCACCTCAACCTCCCCACCTTCTCTACCAAAGTCACCTCAACCCCTCCCACCTTCTCTACCAAAGTCACCTCAGCCCTCCCCACCTTCTCTACCAAAGTCACCTCAGCCCTCCCCACCTTCTCTACCAAAGTCACCTCAACCCTCCCCACCTTCTCTACCAAAGTCACCTCAGCCCTCCCCACCTTCTCTACCAAAGTCACCTCAACCCTCCCCACCTTCTCTACTAAAGTCACCTCAACCCTCCCCACCTTCTCTACCAAAGTCACCTCAACCCTCCCCACCTTCTCTACCAAAGTCACCTAAAACCCTCCCCACCTTCTCTACCAAAGTCACCTCAACCCTCCCCACCTTCTCTACCAAAGTCACCTCAACCCTCCCCACCTTCTCTACCAAAGTCACCTCAACCCTGCCCCCCTACCAAAGTCACCTCAACCCTCCCCACCTTCTCTACCAAAGTCACCTCAACCCTCCCCACCTTCTCTACCAAAGTCACCTCAACCCTCCCCACCTTCTCTACCAAAGTCACCTCAACCCTCCCCACCTTCTCTACCAAAGTCACCTCAAACCTCCCACCTTCTCTACCAAAGTCACCTCAACCCTCCCCACCTTCTTTACCAAAGTCACCTCAACCCTCCCCACCTTTTTTTACCAAAGTCACCTCAACCACCCCCACCTTCTCTACCAAAGTCACCTACAACCCTGCCCCCCTACCAAAGTCACCTCAACCCTCCCCACCTTCTCTACCAAAGTCACCTCAACCCTCCCCACCTTCTCTACCAAAGTCACCTCAACCCTCCCCACCTTTCTCTACCAAAGTCACCTCAACCCTCCCCACCTTCTCTACCAAAGTCACCTCAACCCTGCCCCCCTACCAAAGTCACCTCAACCCTCCCCACCTCTCTAACCAAAGTCACCTCAACCCTCCCCACCTTCTCTACTAAAGTCACCTCAACCCTCCCCACCTTCTCTACCAAAGTCACCTCAACCCTCCCTACCTTCTTTACCAAAGTCACCTCAACCCTCCCCACCTTCTTTACCAAAGTCACCTCAACCCTCCCCACCTTCTCTACCAAAGTCACCTCAACCCTCCCCACCTTCTCTACCAAAGTCACCTCAACCCTCCCCACCTTCTCTACCAAAGTCACCTCAACCCTCCCCACCTTCTCTACCAAAGTCACCTCAACCCTCCCCACCTTCTCTACCAAAGTCACCTCAACCCTCCCCACCTTCTTTACCAAAGTCACCTCAACCCTCCCCACCTTCTTTACCAAAGTCACCTCAACCCTCCCCACCTTCTCTACCAAAGTCACCTCAACCCTCCCCACCTTCTCTACCAAAGTCACCTCAACCCTCCCCACCTTCTCTACCAAAGTCACCTCAACCCTCCCCACCTTCTCTACCAAAGTCACCTCAACCCTCCCACCTTCTCTACCAAAGTCACCTCAACCCTCCCCACCTTCTCTACCAAAGTCACCTCAACCCTCCCCCACCTTCTCTACCAAAGTCACCTCAACCCTCCCCACCGTCTCTACCAAGGCCACCTCAACCTTCCCCACCTTCTCTACCAAAGTCACCTCAACCCTCCCCACCTTCTCTACCAAAGTCACCTCAACCCTCCCCACCTTCTTTACCAAAGTCACCTCAACCCTCCCCACCTTCTCTACCAAAGTCACCTCAACCCTCCCCACCTTCTCTACCCAAGTCACCTCAACCCTCCCCACCTTCTTTACCAAAGTCACCTCAACCCTCCCCACCTTCTCTACCAAAGTCACCTCAACCCTCCCCACCTTCTCTACCAAAGTCACCTCAACCATCCCCACCTTCTCTACCAAAATCACCTCAACCCTCCCCACCTTCTCTACCAAAGTCATCTCAACCCTCCCCACCTTCTCTACCAAAGTCACCTCAACCCTCCCCACCTTCTCTACCAAAGTCACCTCAACCCTCCCCACCTTCTCTACCAAGGCCACCTCAACCTTCCCCACCTTCTCTACCAAAGTCACCTCAACCCTCTTCACCTTCTCTACCAAAGTCACCTCAACCCTCCCCACCTTCTCTACCAAGGCCACCTCAACCTTCCCCACCTTTTCTACCAAGGCCACCTCAACCCTCCCCACCTTCTCTACAAAGGTCACCTCAACCCTCTCAACCTTCTCTACTGAGGTCACCTTAACCTTCCCTTCTTTTCAGGTCACCACATGTAAGAAAAATAAAAAAGTGAACATACAAAAATGCAAAAAAATATATAATTCACATAATTTCCAATTTTTTGAGTGGGCAATATAACTTTAATTGTAGGGAGCTGCACGTACCACTAGTTGCACGAACGCTGCCCTGGTTACAGGACACCATCATTAAAAAGCTGAAGCCAATCGGATGAGTCATCCTTAAGTCATAAACAAAGTAAGATAAAAATTTTTGAGAGAAAAAAAATGGCAACCACTTAAAGGTGACTCTCAGGGATGCCAAATAATATATTGTTATCCAGATCTTTGAGAAAACTGCCTGATGAAAATAAAATTTATTGGTCAAAGTTTATTTTAAGACACAATATGCATTTTATCAAGATTTTTCTCCTTCAGGGATCTCGTGGACAAAATGTATTCTCAAGAAAATGCTTTAAATTGCATACCTGTCAATATATATGTAATACCATTAATATACATAAAATTTTCTGTTAAGAATTACTGTTAGAATTTTTATCATGAAATTTCACAAATGGAACTTCCAGCTTAATCATATTTTTCATATAGATTATAAGATTTAGTAAAAATTATGAGAGAAATCATAGTGAAAGTTAAGACACTTGTGCAACATCTGGTTAACGTTATTGTAGACGTTTCGCCATCCAGTGGCTTTATCAATACAGATTCTTGGACATAATAAGAAATCAGAACTATATATAAAAGATGAGGTAATCAGTCCCTCAGCCTTGGAGGTGGTGTTTAGGGCACCGTGGTTGTAGAGACTCTGAAGCACAGGCAAGGAGACTGGCGCTTATATAGGCGTCAGTGAAAGGGACGTGTAGCAGACGAAGGCATAGTTTACCTGGAGTTTACCTGGACAGAGTTCCGGGGGTCAACGCCCCCGCGGCCCGGTCTGTGACCAGGCCTCCTGGTGGATCAGAGCCTGATCAACCAGGATGTTGCTGCTGGCTGCACGCAAACCAACGTACGAGCCACAGCCCGGCTGTTCAGGAACCGACTTTAGGTGCTTGTCCAGTGCCAGCTTGAAGACTGCCAGGGATATGTTGGTAATCCCCCTTATGTATGCTGGGAGGCAGTTGAACAGTCTCGGGCCCCTGACACTTATTGTATGGTCTCTTAACGTGCTAGTGACACCCCTGCTTTTCATTGGGGGGATGTTGCATCGTCTGCCAAGTCTTTTGCTTTCGTAGTGAGTGATTTTCGTGTACAAGTTCGGTACTAGTCCCTCTAGGATTTTCCAGGTATATATAATCATGTATCTCTCCCACCTGCGTTCCAGGGAATACAGATTTAGGAACCTCAAGCGCTCCCAGTAATTGAGGTGTTTTATCTCCGTTACACGCGCCGTGAAGGTTCTCTGTACATTTTCTAGGTCAGCAATTTCACCTGCCTTGAAAGGTGCTGTTAGTGTGCAGCAATATTCCAGCCTAGATAGAACAAGTGACCTGAAGAGTGTCATCATGGGCTTGGCCTCCCTAGTTTTGAAGGTTCTCATTATCCATCCTGTCATTTTTCTAGCAGACGCGATTGATACAATGTTATGGTCCTTGAAGGTGAGATCCTCCGACATGATCACTCCCAGGTCTTTGACGTTGGTGTTTCGCTCTATTTTGTGGCCAGAATTTGTTTTGTACTCTGATGAAGATTTAATTTCCTCGTGTTTACCATATCTGAGTAATTGAAATTTGTCATCGTTGAACTTCACATTGTTTTCTGCAGCCCACTGAAAGATTGGTTGATGTCCGCCTGGAGCCTTGCAGTGTCTGCAATGGAAGACACTGTCATGCAGATACGGGTGTCATCTGCAAAGGAAGACACGGTGCTGTGGCTGACATCCTTGTCTATGTCGGATATGAGGATGAGGAACAAGATGAGAGCGAGTACTGTGCCTTGTGGAACAGAGCTTTTCACCGTAGCTGCCTCGGACTTTACTCTGTTGACGACTACTCTCTGTGTTCTGTTTGTGAGGAAATTATAGATCCATCGGCCAACTTTTCCTGTTATTCCTTGAGCAAGCATTTTGTGCCCTATTACGCCATGGTCACACTTGTCGAAGGCTTTTGCAAAGTCTGTATATATTACATCTGCATTCTTTTTGTCTTCTAGTGCATCTAGGACCTTGTTGTAGTGATCCAATAGTTGAGACAGACAGGAGCGACTTGTTCTAAACCCATGTTGCCCTGGGTTGTGTAACTGATGGGTTTCTAGATGGGTGGTGATCTTGCTTCTTAGGACC